CAGATATAATCTGACAAAAGGAATATGAAACTGCTTTAAAAGAAATTAAGACAGTTATATAAAGCAGAAAAAGATATAGCAAGTGTCTATCAGTATAGTTTCCCATCTCTCCAATGAGATATACACGTGGATGGATAGTAACATCTTTGCAGAGGATTCTAATTCACTTTGCCTTGTGGGAAGGGCTAAGGAAAACAGACCTTTTCTCCCATCTGACGGTTCTAGGGATGGCATGGCTGTATTCCCTACCTACTCACTAGGTGCAAGTAAGTGATACAAAACAGTCTCAATAAATTCCTGAGTGTTTTGGGGGAAGCAAAAGCTCAATTTATAGAAATCTCTCTCAGTAGAGACATACACACACAAACACAAAAGGAAAACAAGATTATAAAGTAGGTGGAGATAAAGTAATACATAACAGACTTCAGCTGACCAAGGTGCAAGGTTCCGGTCAGTTTAAGCTAATGAGTGGTTATAATTTCAGGTCAATAAGATTTCTGAGTGCAAATCATTCATGACACTAGAAAAATGAACTCTATCACCACTGCTTTCAAACAACTGTTTACTCAGTAGCTTAAAAGATCAAATAAATTTACATAAAATGGTTGATTAGTTACAAAAGTGAAAGAATTAAAATACATATACACAAATATGTGTTCAATTACTTACAAATACTGCAAGAATCAAATTTATGAAGATAAATAATGGCTGAATCAATTATTTGCAAAGAATGAGATAATTAAACTTCAGCTGTTAATAAACTGCCACTAGTTTGAAAACTTTGCTGGGCATGGTGTAATCCCACCATGTGAGAGACTGAAGAAGATTCCAAGTTTGAGGCCAGCCTAATCTACACAGTAAATTCAAAGTCAACCAGGATTGGGCCGGGATTTAGCTCAGCGGTTTGGTGGCCTGCCTAGCAAGTACAAAGACCCGAGTTCAATCCCCAGTACCAAAAAAAAACAAATCAAAAACACACAAAAAAACAGGATTAGTATGAGAGCCCGTCTTAAAAAAACAAAAACAAAAAAACCAAGGGGCCAAGGATTTGGCTCGGTGGCACCCTGCCTGCCTAGCAAGTGCAAGGTTCTGAGTTCGATTTCTGACACCCCCCATGAAAAACAACCCTGAAAGATTAAGTAGGATATAATGAACATACCATGTATACTACAATTAAAATAGTCTTCACTCTGAAGAGTTTATGGAATACAAACATCAGAACATAAGTTCCTTAAAAGCATTTTCACTACATTCACCACTATATACCAAGGTCCTAGAATGGTACTGGGCATATGTAGGCACTCAGTGTTTACTAAATTCAGTAATTACAAACATTTAATAACTGACTCACTATAAAATACATACATACTTTTTAACCTAGAAGCAAATGAATGAAATGTTTTTTATATATTACCTTAGCCTTCTTCACCTGTACTAAAGAAACATGTGGAAGGGTATCTGAGCTAAACTGTCCTTCAAAAAATTACTATCCATATCCAGGCATGGTGGTGCAAGCCTGTAATCCCATCTCTGGGGAGGATGAAGCAGGAGGATCACTGCGAGTTTGAGGCCAGCCTGACCTACAAAACAAGACCTTTCCTAAAAATAAATAAATTTTTTAAAAAAATCGAAAGATGGGGAAAAAGCTAAATTCATGAAAAGCATTCTGGGCCCCGTAGGTTAATATATTCTATTAGTATTCTTCAAATGAACCATGTTGAGTATGTGTTGAATTTTCATGTAGGTTCAGCCTGGATTAGAATGATAGAAAATATGAAGAGAGGGAAAAAAATGACACAATGGTTACATTAGTCTTAAATACCTTCTGCCTCCCTAACATTTATATAAATAGCATCTTATTTGTAATGAGATGGATGTTCTCATTACAACTCTATATGGAGTAGGATAGTCCCATTTTATGTTAGTATGTGTGCTGCTGAAGCGAGCACTCATTTTATAAGTTAGAATAGAAACCATCAGAATCTGAGTCTTTCTGGGTGAAATGGTGCACACCTGTAATCCCAGCACTCAGGAGGCTGAGGCAGAATGAGCAATCGTCACAAGTTCAAGATCGAATTGGGCTACATAGTGAGTGCAAAGCCACCTGAACTACATAGCAAGACCCTGTCTCAAAAAAAAAACAAAAAACGAAAAAAAAAAAACTAAGTCTAATCTATGTCATAAAACTGTTAAGTGGCAAACTTAGAATTTCAAGATTTTCATTTCTAAAGCCCAAAACTACTGATCAGGACTTAGATTTAGGGCAGCTGTTTTCACCCATATCAGGTAAGGCTAGAAGGCTTCTGAAACTATAGATGCCCAGGCCCTCCACTCCGGAAATTTGTGATCCCACTGATCTTGGGCAGTATCCAAGTATTCATCCATATTTTAAAATACTACTCAGGTGATTCTCTGGGAGCTAATTTGCAAACTACTGACCCAGGCATCTTTGTCAGGTTTTAAGAATGTGCCTGTTCGGGCCAGGGATTTAGCTCAGTGGTTCGGTGGCCTGCCTTGCAAGCACAAGGACCCGAGTTCAATCCCCAGTACCAAAAAAAAAAAAAAACAAAAAATAAACAAGAATCTGCCTGTAGGATTGTGGATGTAGCTCTGCCAGAGAGTACTTGCCTAGCCTTCACAAAGCTCTGGGTTCAAGTCCCAGTAAAGCTATGCACACAAACTACCTTTAAGTGTGTCAAAAAAGAATAAATGTGAGAGAAAGCTAGTGTTACAGTCACCTGCTTCAGTAAAGGAGCCAGAATTTCCAAGTTACTATTAATTTTGAGGGGTGGGGGAGTTGAGACAGGTCTTGCTATGTAGTCAGGCTACCTACCTCAGGCTAGCCCTCAACTCATGGCTCTCCTAGTGCCTCAGACTCCCAAGTCCTAAGATTATAGGAGTGCACTGGATTACAGGTGTGCACAGCAATGCCTGGAAGAAGTCACTTTTAAATTTTAAGTGGCTCACTAGCATTCCTAGTTTCTTTTTAATTTTATGGAAGTCTCTAAAGAGCTTATAAAAAGCCTGAAGAACCTCTAGAACACAGGAATTGTAAAAGTCACCACATAAAGGTGAAAGTGAAAGAAGGCCCTCAAGAGGAAAAAAATAATTCATCACAAAATATCCTACACTGGAACAGGGTCTCACTTGATTGGAATTGGCAATGGCAGAAGGTGGTCTCTGGGGAAATATTAATATGCCAGAATATACTAGTGTGCTAAATTATAATGAAAGGAAAAGCAGATAAATGATCAGACCCGTGGGCAACCAGATAAACTGACAAATTTCATGAATTAGTTTCATCTGTTTGATGCCAGGCTTTGTTCCAGGATTTAAGGTAAACAATGAGTAAAGTTTTGCCTTTCAGGAACTTGTAAATCACACATCTGAAAAAGGATTGACAAAGCAGGTCAGATCGTTGACTTGAAACAAGGGTTAGCTAGACTAAACACTAATCATCCAAAGTGAAAAATGTCAGTGACATGATTTCTGTCAATTTAAATATCTCATAATTCTAAAATCCAAAAGAAATGTCAGTGGGGGAGGAGCAATACTCTTGGGTGATTTGGGTGTGGCAGACCCAAACAATTTAACTGGGTATAATCTCTAGGAGACGTCTACTTAGAATTGGACCTTTACTCAGCACAAAAAGCAGTATCACCTGTTGAACAGGGAGGCAAGTGGTGTCTATTGAAAGCTGTAGGCAACCACAAACATTATGAATTAGCTAATACAATCGGGCTATGATAGGAAGCCGCAGCTAAGGGTACAAAGTGGATTCAGTTTCCTAAAACTCATAGAATCCACTGCCTAGAATTTGAACAGCAGAGGGCGGTGCAGCCGACTTCACAAAGAGTTTTACAAGCTGGAGCACCACCCCATGGGTAACTGGCCCCATATAAATCGAAACTTTCTCAGTGAACTCAGCGATTCTCAAGTATGTCAATGTTCAGTGTTGGACTCATGTGGCATTCTTCCATAACCTCTATTCTAGTCTTGACCGTTAAGGATCCCTTGCGGATACTCTGACCTCATAGGTTGGGGGTGGCGATAGGGTGGGGGTGGGGGAGAACGGAGGGAATCAGCCTATCAGATTTTCCAAAAGAATGCTTACCCTTGGCTTTGGGAAAGAAGCTTACAATTCTAAGGGGTAGGGGATTCATTCTCCGGGAGATTATTTGGTTCTTCTTCCCAGTGACATCACTGACACACACTTTACAATATAGTTGGGTGAGAGGTTTCGGGAGGCTAAGAAAAAGAAACTAATTCTATGGGTAACAGAAGGACCGAACACTTCAAAACGGCGTTCCAAAAAAAGAAAACTAGACTCCATCCCTTAACTAAGTTTCTAAGCCTACGACCCAGGTCTCGTTCTCTGTACTCCCCCAAGTATAAACTCCAAACTTTTTGCCCTTTGCCCGGCCCCCGGGCTGTGGAACTCTTCCCGGCACGCCGGGCTCCACGCCCCGAGAGCCTCGAGGTCAGGAGCGAGCGGGACAGAGCGAAGGTCGGCGATCGCTCTCTCCCAAAGCTACCCGTACCTGTCCAGCATCTGCTGTAGGGCTTGGTCCGGCATCTTCTGCAGAGCCGGCGCACTTGGCCCTGCCCAATGGACCGGGTTGCGGCCAGGCCCACCCAGGGACAATAGCACTGAGAGGCGGCGGAGTAGGCCTCAGTCCCGTGGCAGCCGCAAACCTGCCTCCCAGCCTTCCCGGGAGGCTCGAATAGGCCAGCGGCGGCGAAGCACGGACAGCAGGCGTCCGGAGGAGGCGGGGGAGAACGGGGAGGAGGAGCCTGACGCGGGGAGGCGGCGATCGAGGCCCCTGTTCCTGCCCGTCGGCCCAAGGTTCCGGTCCATGTACCGCGGGCGCACGGTTGCTGCTACCGGAGGAGCTACCTCTGTGAGGTAAGAGTCACCGCCTCCGTGCGCGCCGGGGTCACGTCGCAGGGCGAGCCCAGAGCATCCTGGGAGATGTAGTCCTCCGCCCGTCCCCGGTAGAAGCCAGCCAGCCCAGACCACAGCCGCCGCCCGGCAGGAGCCCTCCCGTTTCCTTGCTCGGGGGAGTGGGGAAATGTCCTTCGGGTCGCTTTCCGGGAAGCAGCAGGATGCACCGCTCCACTGTCACTAGCAACAAGGTCAGCCCTCCTTGCATGTTTCTTTACTCCTCAGCTCTTGCTCTCAGGTGGGACTAAGCCAGGTGAGGGGAGGGGGCTGAAGAGCCATTTCTCGTCCGGGTCCGCAGCCCCTGCTAGGGCGCCGGGGCGGGCCGTGGCGGCAGAGGGAAGCCCCCGGCGGTGGAGTTGGCCTCTCCCACGTCAGAGCCCATTTTGGGGGTGTTACACAACCCAGCAAGGGGTGGGATGCTTCGTGCGTGAGGTTATTCCTGATGGGGCGGAAGGGTAGGGGCTACCTTCATAGGACCGTTCCCACCGAGCCCCAGTGTGTGTTTGGAGTTAGGGTTGAAGGAGAAAAGATGATTCTTTCCTTCTCTAAGAGCCTTCTCAAACGTGCCTTCCATAAGCTTTCAAGGGCTCGCCAACAGTCTCCAAATGGAACATGTTCGTGAATAAATTTAGCTCTTGCTTACTCAGCTGTGGGTTGTCAGGGATGTTTGTTTCTCTTTCTGCTATTGATCTCTGTTAACCATTTCTTGTCTTCTTGACACCTCCAAGCAGGTGGATGGCGGGGTTGGGGGTTCGGGGTGTGGACTCAAAAGGGAGAGGTCACGAATCACTCATTGGGCTGTTCTCTGACGCTCTAGGAATAGCTGTGTGGCGCGAGGAAGGAGCTGTTGACTAAAACCAGTGCGTATTTTGGACGATCCGTGGCGTTCTCTAGTGCTGTGTGGTTGGTAGGACGTTTGGTAGTTATATCTGCTGTACAGTGTTTGATTTTTTCTTTGAATGAAAATGTATGATCTTTTTGGGAGACTGTGGAGACAGGGTTTTTCTTATGTACGGTACGTAGTTCAGGCTGGCCTTGAACTAGCAGCAATCCTCCTGCCTCAGTCTTTGTAGTACTGGGGTTACAGGCGTGCGCCACTAAGCCTGGCTGAAAATGTGTTTTTAAAAATTATCTTTTAATAAAGAAGTTTACCATCAAACTCTCTTTTTTTGTACCAGGGATCAAATTCGGAACCTTATGCTTGCAAGGTAGGTGGCAGAACCAGAGTTGGATCCCCATCTACTGTCAACACTTAATTACCTGTTCAAAGTTTGTATTGGTGCCAGGAATTGAGGGAGGGAGGAAAGAAAGAAGGAAGGAAGGAAACGACACGACCGGGATATTATTTGGTCCATTTTTTTTTTTTTTTTTTGTACCAGGGATCGAACTGGGGATTTTGCGCTTGCGAGGCAGGCGGCACCACTGAGCTAAATGCCCGGCCCTGAAGTGCACTTTTTTTAAAAAAGGCTTTGGGGTAGTATGATTAATACGTTTTTCTCCTGAAATGAGAAACAGGCCCACCTTAGGGAAAGATAATTTTGCTCCATGTACTGTGTAAGTTTTCCTCTACTGTTTATCTCCAAAGCAATTGTCAGACATAGGAGTTGGATATTGACATCTACTGAAAAACAGAATTTTATCTTAGTACATTGATTAGGTTAGTGAAAACTCCATTTTGCTTTATGGTTTACACCAAAGGATCTCAGGATTTTTATTTGCTTTCTGCTTGATTCTAAATTGGAAAATAATATACAAATCTGTTAAAGCACAGCCTTTTGCGGGTTGATCTTATTATACCAATAAATGGGTTTTATATTTGCATTTTTATGAAAAGCCAGTTTTCTAGCTGTTTAAAAAACTTTGAAGCAGAAAAAATTCTGTTAATGGGAGCCTGAGGGTTTAGGTCAGTGGTGGAGTACTTGCCTAATGTGGGTGAGACCCTGGATTTGATGTACAGCACCGGGGGAAAAAAATTCGCTTAAGTGATTAGTCCCTGATCTAGGAATTTCAAGTCTAGATATCTTCCAAGAGAAATGAAAACCTATATCTTCAGAAAGATATGTTTGAGAATGTTCATAGCAGCAATATTTTCTAAATAAATAAATAGAAATAAAATGGGTATAGTTTATTGTACACAAATTACGTCTTCATAAAGCTTCATAAAACTGTTAAAAGTAATTAGATCCAGGGCTGGGGATTTAGCTCAGCGGTTTGGTGGCCTGCCTTGCAAGCACAAGGACCCGAGTTCACTCCCCAGTACCCCCCCAAAAAAACAGTAATTAGATCCATAGACAGGCATAGTGGTATATGCCTATAATGCCACCTACTTGGGATGCTGAGGCCAGAGGATTACAAGTTTTAAGGTCAGCCTGGGTATCTTAGTGAGACCCTGTCTCAAAGTAATTTTTTTTCTTTTGTGGTACCGGGGATTGAATTTAGGACCTTGCACTTGCAAGGCAGGTGCAGCGCCTCTGAGCTACATCCCCAGCCTTCAAAATAAAATTTTAAAAGGACTGGGAATGTACTTCAGTGATACAGCACTTGCCTAGCATGCATAGGCCTCAGTTCAATACCCAAGGCAGCAAAAAAAAAAAAAAAAAAAAAAAAAAAAAACCCAAAGAAACAAACAATAACCATCTAAAGAGAATCTAAAGAGAAATGGGTACACATAGCTGATATTTCTTATCAAACATTGTCTTTTCTATTAATATAAGCAAAAGTCATGATTGATAAGACTCGTGAAGTAAACTAATCCTTGCATTTAAAATAACTGACAGCCTGAATTTCAAATTGTCAAGTTTGCTTTTTGTGGTTCTTTCATTTTCCAGTGAGACTGAGTATAGTTGGGACAATTTACTCTCTAATTTTGAGGAAAAAAAGTCTTAATTACTTAGAATGTAGGGAAAAGAGTTGAAATGCACTTCTCCATTGTATGTAGTGTTAAAGATTTATGGTAAATGTTATTCAATTAAGGGAGTAACCACCATGACCACAGACAGTCAAAGAAATCTTTTTCTTCAGAGATACTTTTTTTTTTTCCCCCTTTGAGATAGGGTCACACTGTGTAGTTTAGGCTGGCTTTGTATCTATTATGTAGCGACCTCAAATGCTGTCCATCCTCCTACTCCAGCCTTCTGAGTGCTGGGATTACAGGCGTGCACCACCACACCCAGCAGAGATACTTTTAAAATAGAAATTAGTGTACTAAACAATAACAAGGATTAACAACATAGATTTATCCTAAAGAGTTATGGAATTGGGCCGGGGATTTAGCTCAGTGTTGCTGCCACTGAGTTCGATCCCCAGTACCCCCCCAAAAAAGAGTTATGGAATGTTTTAATATTTAGTAATGGCTTTATAAATAGCTGATTATGAACTATTGTAAATACATTAGGAAATATAAATCATTTTAAACTACTACAGGGGCCCTGGAGATATTCCCTAGAGAACAAAAAGAAATAATGTAACATAGTAAGGTACCCTCCAAAGAGAACTGTCAGTTACCAAATTACGTGATAAACTGCAGGCTGAGTCTTCAAAGCAGGTTACAGAAAATTCTTCATTAATTTCATCAGCAGATGTTTCCAGGGAATTTATTATGTGTATGGGTGCTCTAGTAGCAAATTAAACCATAATTTTTCTTAAGAGCCCTGAAATGTTTGTCTTTAGAAAAGTAAAAGAAGGTACTTATATATGAAATATTATATAATGCGAACATGTCAGCAAATGAAAAAGAACCAAATGAATGGCATAGAAATACAAAGTGATAGAAGAATTTGGAAGAGACATATTGTAGGCTAGAATATTAAAGAGAACTTTGTTGTTGGGTGTAGTGGCTCATGCCTGTGATTCCAACACTTGGGAGGCTGAGGCAGGTAGATCACTGAGAGTTGGGGCCAGCCTGAGCTACATAATAATTTCAAGGCTAGTCTGAACTACATAGCAAGACCCTGTCTCAAAAAGAGATAAGAGGGAGGGGGAAGGGAGAGAGAGAACTTTGTGAAATGGGGAAATGAACTTTATCTTATGGTGAGAGAAGGAATTATGTAAGTGAAGAGGTAGAAAAGATCTTGGGTCTGGATTAGATTGAAAAGATGTAATGAGAGGAGTTAACCTCTGTAGCTGAAACTGTAGGTCTCTGTTATGTAAATGGAAAATATGGTTGATTAAGGAATAATTAAAAGGCCTTGAATCTATTAATCCATTCAGTCTATTCATATAAGCACTAGATGTAATAACAATAACCAAAACCAAACATAGTGGACCTTTGTAAAGTTTATAGTGTGAGAGAGAATCATGTGTATAAATTTGGTAGGTTGCAAATGTGTGGTACATAGTGTTATGAGAAATTACAATAAGGGACTTGACATAGGAAAATCAGTGCAGGTTTCTCTGAGGAAGTGTCTAATATGAAAAAGAGCAGGAATTGATTAGATAAAGCATGGAAGAAAGAACCTTGCAAGGCAAAGAACAGCAGGTCCAAATTGCCGTATGAAGGAAGACCACAGGATGAAATGGAGAAACTAACAAGGAAGGGATCGTAGGGCAACATGAAACCCAAAAAGATTGATGAGTGGTATACTATGAAGAAAAGAAACCAATTTAATGAATTTTGCCCATATTTTAGGAGAGATGGAAACTGCTGGGAGTTGGAGGTAGGGTTAGGCATAAAAAATAGACTCCATTGTGTGGGAAATGGGAAGTTAACTTGTAGTGGTTCCTAAGTCTCAGTCTGAAAAAGTCCTGGAAATTCTGATTTTGTGCTCTGTAGTGGTTCCTAATTAGTATCTTTTTAACATGCTTCCTAAATGATTATTAGGCTAACATTAGAGAATCTCTGCCAAGATAATGTGGTTGAGACCTTGAATTTAGGCATAGGTTTGAGTCTCAGCATAGTTACTCAAGATTATCTCTTGAGTAGGTAACGTTATCTCTTTAAACCATATTCTTCATCTCCACGGGGAGAATTATAGAATTTGCATTATAGTGTACCTTAAAGAATTAAGTGACATATGGTTAAGAATTCAGTTGGCTTAGCTCTTAATTATTATGAAAATTTCTTCAGTGAAGTGGTATCAAGGAAGGTAGATTTGAAACAGATGAGTTAGGGTTGAACTAGGTCTCGGTAACGTGGCCATGGTCTGTGAGCATTGTCAGAAATTTCCTGTAACTGCATTATTAGTTCTTGAAGATCCTTAGACAGGCTGACATTAGTGGGAAAATTTTGATCACCAGTATATATTTGGGGGCTGAGTATATACAGGATTACTTTGACTGAATTCTTTTTTTAATTCTAGGCAGAGGGTTCACTAATAAAGGACAGTCTATTTATCTTCATTTGTATCTCATGGAACAGACTCCTATCTACATACATATACTCTAACAGATAGATATTTACAGAAGATAAATGATTTTTGTTGACCAAATTGTGTTTTTGTCATAAATATGGTAGAAGTCTTATTACATTCATTATTCTTGCTTAAATTCTTCTCTTTAGGTTATGTGTCCTGGGATATTTAGTGGTTTATCAAGGTGTGGGAAAAAAAATCACAGAATAACATGTCATATCTTACTTTCTGTGGCTTGTTCCTGAAGTGTTGATTTTATGATAAATACATGTATGAAGAATTATTTTCCATCTGGGTGCAGTAGTACTGGTCTGTAATCCTAACTACTTGGGAGGCTGAGGTAAGAGTATTACAAGTTTGAGACTAGCCTGGACAATTTAGTGAGACTCTGTCTCAAAATTTTAAAAATTAAAATGAAAAGATCTGGAGATGTATTTCAGTGGAAGAATAGTTGCCTAGTATATGTGAAGCTCCAAGTTTTATTGGAATACAGCAAAAAAAAAAAAAAAAAA